CTGCTGAAGATGAGCTCACACAGAGAAATTACACAGTACATAAGAAAAGAAACTGCCAAGAGAGTGAGTCTCAGATTCAATATGGCACCCAGCGTGGCCAGCTATGCTGACTCCAGAACTACTGAAAAACTCCCGTTTCTGCCCATCCACTCAACACCATCATCCCTCCAACTCTAATCCAGGTACTGGAGAGTGCCTGAAGCCCCTGTCTCTCTTCTTTCCAGTTCATAAATGTATACAACGTATGTATAAATTCCCTTTCATTTAATTCACACACCACACCATTTAGATACTTAGGAGCCCATATTGCTCATGTCTGTTCACACTAGCCAGAGGCAACCACTGGTGAGGCGTTTCTGCCACACCTGGCCACCTTCTCGCCCGGCAGTGTGATGAGACTGCTCCAGAGTGGTGACTCCCCAAGCTGGGTTTGGGGTCTCTATCTTGCTAGCCCATAAGATATGAAGAGAGTCGGTCCTTTTCTGCTTTCATACACTGATGTCATTGACAAACTTCCACTTTCACTTTCACCCACAATACTGCTGGCCTACAAAGTGAGCCGTTCCACGTTCCTGAAATGTGGCATTCAAACTCAACCATCAGAGTTGACCAAGGACTCTAATTCAGCACCCACTGAAAGACCTTACTGCCCGGCAAAGCTTGGCCACCCTTGCTCTGCTGCATAATTGCAGGACACAGGAATCTCAGACTGGGGCAGGTTGCTGTCCCATCCAGGTATCATCAGCTTTGTCTTGAATCGGTGGAGCTTTGGAACTGCTGCTATTCTTGCTTTTAAATCACAAATTACTCTTGCTTTGGCTCCATCACCATCAACTTACTGAAGAGAGGGTATCTGGATAACCCTACACAGTTATAGGGATCCGTATTGGCATTTTTTTTTCTTTTTGCGGTACGCGGGCCTCTCACTGTTCTGGCCTCTTCCGTTGCAGAGCACAGGCTCCGGACGCGCAGGCTCAGCGGCCATGGCTCATGGGCGCAGCCGCTCCGCGGCATGTGGGATCTTTCTGGACCGGGGCACGAACCCGCGTCCCCTGAATCGGCAGGCGGACTCTCGACCACTGCGCCACCAGGGAAGCCCTGGCATCAGTTTTTAAGTTATGCTTTCCACTAAGGAGGTCGTAAGATGCATACCCTGCAGCTCAAATGTGAACCTTTGGTGTCTCCATTAGCAAACTACCCCCCACGTCCTTCAGAGTCTTTGTTACTGTCCCAAGTTCTTTCACTAGTAAGAGGAAGGCCAGTGGGATCCCCGAGCCTTAGCTTTTCTGCCACACCTAAGCAGCTGAGATTAAAAAATAAAATGTTTGTCCCTCTGGGGCAGAGGCCTCCATTCCTGTTTCCCCATTTCCATGGGTATTCAGCAGAGACCTATGGCCACCTACACTCTGTGACTTTACAGGGGGAGTAGACTAGGAGTAATGTCCCTTCCTCTTGGACAAGGAATAGTGTTTCCAATCACACATGTAGGAAAATATTCACTGAGAGCCTGATGTGCCTGACTCTGTGCTGGGGCTGAAGTAAGTCACGAGCCAGCTTTCCTGCCACCAGGGAACTCTCAGACAGGCACAGCTACAGAGGGGGACAAGGACACAGGTGGGGACAATACCAGCTCCTTTGGTTATTTTAGTGCAGAATCTGTTTCCCCTATTTAGGGGAGAGGGCGCTGGTGAAACTGTTTTCTTCTCTGCAAAACTGGGTTAAGCCCAGTGGCCCTGTAGCTTGAGCAGCCAACAGAACATCTTCTATAGGTGTCTTTATCACATGGCCTCCTCGCCTTTCCACAGTGGGAGGTGAGCCAGCCCCACAAAAGAGCCAATCGTAACTAAAGAAGGCAACAGGAGGACCAGAGGACATGCTGGATCTGCACACTCAGCCCTTCACTTTCCATGTCTGCAGTAGTCCACAGTCATGGATTTTTTAATGATGAGCTTGAACAACGGCCATCACGGAAGGCTTTCTGGATGAAGGGGAGACAGACACCTCTTCAGGGTATGAGATGGGAGATGGATTCCAAAGTGGATCCAAATGACCCCCACCTGCTGCTACCAGCTCTCCTGTGTAATCCTCTCCCCTTGAGTGTGGCTGGGCCTAGCAGCTCACTTCTCTCAAATAGAATGTGGCAAAAGTGATGGGAGGTAACTTGTGAGACGAGGTTGGAAAGGACTGTGACTTCCGTCTTGATGGTACTCTTGCCTTCCTGGCTTGCTTGGCTTGGTGGCTGCGTTAGAGAGGCCGACATGGCAAGGAACTGAGGGCAGCTTCTGGCCAACAGCGAAGAGCCAGATCCTACCAACAACCACTGCAACACCTTGATTGCAACCTTTTAAGTCACCCTGAAGCAGCGGACCCAGGGGTCATTAGTTTCTCGGCGATAGATAGCTAAAACCATTACTAATTAGCACGTGGTGAACTTACCTCGGCCGAGAATGTACAGGCAATTCCAGGAACTTTTAAACAACACGGGTCGGTTCTTTTCTTAAAGCCTAGTTACTAAGAATGCACAACCACCATACCCAATTCCCAGAACACACTGGGGATTTGTTAGAGGACGAAACTCCCACACCGATGGCCACAGACTATAAAGCCATCAGGGTCCACAGAGACGCCTAGAGCAGTGATTCCAACCAGGGAGGAGCCTGGACCCTGCCCTGGACCTACTGCAGTGGGATCCTCACAGGTAGACCCTAGGGCTGCTGAATTGATGCAGTTTCCCCAGATGAGACAGACTGTGTATCCCTAGGTAGGAAACACTGCTGTCCTTCGCCTCCCCCACTTGATGTAACAGGAGATGAAGGGCCAGAGAAGTTATGTGTCTTCTCCGGGTCGTACTGCCTGCCAGCGGCAGCTCAGGATCACAGGACAGGTTTCCCATCTCTCCGTCCTCGCTGTCCGCCCTCAACAAGGCCCCACCAACTGCCCACCCCGACTCAAAGGAGAACTCAGCCTAGCTCTGAGCTAACCTAAGCGGAAACAAAGGAGGAGAGACACAGACAGAACTTCCACGGTTCCTTTATTTGTTTTGAAAAGCATCTCCGCCCCTCGTCTCTCAGTCGAGTCCTGGCCTAGTGACGACGAAGGCTGTTCTCTCTGGCCTCTTTCGTTAAGACAGGGAACCACATCAACACTTCCCGTCAGATCTCTGCCTCCAGATACCGTGCAGGGGCAGACCCAGCCAGGACTGGAACTTAACGGCCTTGAGAACACGGGGATCTGTCTGTCTCTGAGTTGCTCTTGGCTTGCAATCTCTTCCTGCATCCTCCCTGACAGCCGTTCCTGTCCTGGGCGGGGGGGGGCGGGGGGGGGGTTCTGCCTTCGCCTCCCCATTCAGGGCTTCTGCAGTAGTTCGGGGCTGCCTGCAGCCTGGTTTCCAGTCCGATTCTCATCCGGGGAAGCGCCACCCCACGGCCCCTGCCGGTTCCGACACGGATCTTCAAGAGCTCACCAGGTCCCAGTGCTGGCTCATAAGTGAGGACTCACACGGATTGACAACGATCTCCCTGCCGTTCTCAGTGCCATCGCCAAACATGTCCGTGTCTAGGCAGAGGTGGGATGCCACGTGCTCGATGCGGGAACCAGTCTTGGTCCATTGCTGGGAAGATGGAGAGGGGAGAGGATGAACCAGAATTCTCCGGCTAACGTCCTGGGTCCTAGCAATAGTACTGGGAGTTCCAGCGTAATCAGAAATGTTGACACCACATGGCTAGGGTCATCCAGAGACTTGACTTCATGGTCTCATGGAGGAAGAAAACTGCAACTAATTGCCTTGCCAGGTATTGTTCTTGGTTTTCTTTTTTTTTTTTTATTGGATTAAAAAAAGTAAAAGCGAAATCAGTATGTTTGCTAGGAAAACTCATTAGAAGGCAATAACTTTCCAAGCCATAGGCCAGAAAATGTGAAGCGAGTTAGTCACAGGAGCAGCTAAAGGAATGATCCACGCTCGGTACCTGCACCGTCATGAAGAAGCGGGTGAGAATGAGGAGTGGGGGATGGCGAGGCAGGAGCGGGGGAGGAGCCCCTGGGCAGCACCTGAAGCCGAACCTCTGCTCCTCCAAAGTGCTTCAGCACACGAGGGGCCCAAGTAGAGAGGGGGTCTCGTGCTGCTGCTTCCCAGACTTCACCTCACTGGACAAGGAGGGAGGGGATGGACACGTATTGGGGAACTACCACTGACCAGGTATCATGGATCATCTCAGTGAACTGCTCTAAACAGCTACCCTGTGTGATGGGCATCATCAACCTCATTTCATAGAGGAGGAAACTGAAGCTCAGAGAGGTCCAGTAACCTGCCAAGGGTCACACAGCCAGTGAGCCATGAAAATGGATATTTGAATCTCGGTCTCTCTAACACCAGGACCCAGTTGGCAGGAAACTGAGTGGAGCCAACACTGTGCCGCCAGAGAAACTAGGCACAAGGTACACCCAGAGTGCTATGAACTTTGCTGGACGTCCTGCCAGAGCCCAAGGCCCCCGAAGGCAGAGGTTCGAGTCTTGTTCATCCTTGTGGCCCTGCAGGCTCTGTCCCAGTATGCTACTGCTCTGGGATCCTGGGTGGGCGTCGGAGCAAGACAGGGCAGTACAAGATACACATGCAGGGCTTCCCTGGTGGCGCAGTGCTTGAGAGTCCGCCTGCCGATGCAGGAGACGCGGGTTCGTGCCCCGTTTCGGGAAGATCCCACATGCCGCGGAGCGGCTGGGCCCGTGAGCCATGGCCACTGAGCCTGCGCGTCCGGAGCCTGTGCTCCGCAAATGGGAGAGGCCACAACAGTGAGAGGCCCGCATAACGCAAGGAAAAAAAAAAAAAAAAAAAAAAAAAAAGATACACATGCAAGCTGAGGTATAGCGCAGTCAGTAGGCTTTCACATGGCAGCGGATCGCTGCTGCGGGCACCATGGATGGTATCAGAGGCCCCTCCCTCCCTCTCCTAACCAGAAGGACCTCTTCCTTATCAACACTTCCTCCTCTGAAGCTTCTCTCTTTTCCTGCACACGAGACTTAGACCTACACCGGCGGCCACGTCCCAGGGCAGACGCGCTGAGCACTTACCTGTCGGTCATCTCCATTCTTGCAAAGGACAAGAACCACCGGGGCGCCAGGGAACAAGGTGATGACTGACAGGCACAGCTCCTCCTGGAGGATCTGCTGGGTGTATGTGAAGGCCCAGATCTGGAGGGGAAGAGGCCAGAAAGGGTCACCTCAGGATGCTTGGAAGCCACCCCTGCTGGGATACTACCGTGCCTACGTGTGACAATTAGCACAGCTTTGTACGAAGCACTGTGTGTGGGGGGCTCCTAGCGGGAATCGACTGTCAACAGGCCACCTGGGAAAATGCTACTCAAGAGCCAGAGATTCTTGGGTCACACCCTCGGTGAAGTCCCCGCCCCTCTCCCAAGAAGGGGACTGGCCTGGGGCATGCAGGCTGCCTCTGAGAGGCAAGGACCAATTCTGGGCTTTGGGCAGGAGACTGAAGGACAACCCGGCCGAACTGCATGGTCTCCAGTTTCTCCGTTTGGATTGGTGTCTGTTCCCCACACTTGACATTTCACGCAGCTACCCGGCAGGTCACACCGCCGCCCCCCTCCGTCCTCCCAGCTGTCTTTAGAATGTCCCTTCTTCGAAAAGGAGTCCAAATCGGCGCCCTGAGAACATGAGAGTTGTGACAAGAGGCAGCTGGAGGGGCAAAGGTAATGAGGAGGGGGTGGGAGAGGAGAAGGAAGGAAAGAAGGAAGTTGTGAGAAATAAAATCATTCCAAGAGGGCGCATGCACACCAGCGCTCCAGGAGAACAGGGCACTTGGCCCCGGAGCTCCTGCAGGGGGAGCAGCTAAGGAATCGGATGGACATGCAGAGTTCTGACGGAGGCGAAGGGAACGGGGCATTCGGTGAGGTTCATTACGAGGAAGGAGGAACATTTCCTTCAAGTGCCAGAGACCAGAGAGCAAAACCAACTGCTAAAGCAGCCCGGGCCACCGCCCAGCTCTTCGATCAGGGGCGGAAATGCTGGCATAATAGTTGTCAGACGTGAACCTTCAAGAGGTTTTTCCTAGGTTGTAAAACAGGGCTAACATCTGTCCTTTGTCTTATCATGGGGCAGAGAAGACTTGTGAATCGGATGCCCCGAGGGGAGCTGCAGAGAGGACCCCTTTAAGGGCTGTACCTCTCCTCTTCCACGACACCCTTCCCATCCAGTGGACCTTCTGTCCCTGCACCAGGCCACTTGGTGTCGAGAGACGATCTAGACCAGAAAGTACTCCCTGGGGAGTGGATGGAAATAGAGACGAACAAAGACTGGCTGTGAGTTGAGAATTCCTGAAGCCTGGGGATGGGTACACCGGGGTTCTTCATACTCTTCCACTGAGCTCGATTTCTGTATCTATTCAGTTTTGTTTTTTTTTAAATAATAAAACGTTAGGAAATGTACTCTTCTGGCCTCGTGCACATCACCATGCTACACAAACCATTTGCCTTCCTCCAGGGTAAGCTGCAACGGGAATACGCCTTTATTCGTGGAGGTAACGTCGGAACCATGACAGGATGGCTAATAGCGGCTCACATTTCTTGAGCACCTACTATGTGCCAGGCACTGTTCTGGGAGCTTTACACATGTTAACTTAATCACAAGACTCCAATTAAGTAGGTGTTGTCATTATTCCCCTTTTACAGATGAGGAAGGTAAGGCTCAGAGAGGTTATCCTAAGTCAGGTACAGAAAGTGGCCCCTGCACCCAGTCTCCCCAACAGCTCTGCTTGAGCTACTGCTGCCGCTGGGGTCATGGCTCGTTCTGGGCCCTTTGATCCAATTTAATCTCGGGAGACCCCTCCTCCAGGTCGTAAATATTAAAACGATAGATCAGCTCCGCCCTGACAGGAGATAGCCGGCAGGAGTTTCCTCCTCTTGGCCAGTTCCCAGTGGCAGACCCTGTAAGAAGGGAAACCAAGGTCACAGCCCGTGTCAGGGGCCGGGGAGGGGGCAGACCAGAGAGTAGGCCCCTCCCCTGACACTAATGGGAACCGGGCAAGAGTGTGAACGGAGGCCCACCCGCCGCGGACGCCACACCAGGCCAGGGGACATGCGTGGCGCTGGCTTCCAGCCTGGGCTGCCCCCCTTTACTTCCCACCCCACCTCTGTCCCCCACTGTGAACTCCCAGCCTGCATCTCCCTGTTTGGTCACTCCCCTCTCAAGGGTCCCCCTAGGGCCTGGGTGTGTGGACTGGGACACAGTCCATCCTCTGGAACGGACCCAGGGGAGAGAGATCCACACAAGTCCTGGAATCAGGCTTGGGTCATTAGGGTGGTGGATTCTGGGGTCCTACACATTTGGGGAGTGTAACGTAGGAGGCAGACACAGGTCCTAGGCGTGAGCCCTGAGAATTCCTTGGCCTGTGGTGCGGGGGGAGAGCAGGGCTGCCAGGGGGCCATTTGCCCAGGCCCCACGTACCACTGGCCTCAACATTAGACTTCTGCACTGTCTGGAAATGAGGATAAACACACAGTCACCGACGTGGAAAGAAGATGAGGCTCATCGCTCCGTCCTACTACCCGACCACACAGCTGGCAGTGAACCATGAATTAGCATTTTAAAAATAAACCCTGTAATTACCTTATGATCATTACAATACACTGGCTTTGTGTTTTCTATGTTAAAAGCATTAATTGATTAAATATAAAAACTTAAAATACACCACAATTTCTGGTAGCCCATTTTGGCACTTTTTTTTTTTTTGGCGGGATGCGGGCCTTTCACTGTTGTGGCCTCTCCCGTTGCGGAGCACAGGCTCCGGACGCGCAGGCTCAGCGGCCATGGCTCACGGGCCCAGCCGCTCCGCGGCACGTGGGATCCTCCCGGGCCGGGGCTCGAACCCGTGTCCCCTGCATCAGCAGGCGGACTCTCAACCACTGTGCCACCAGGGAAGCCCTTGGCACTTCTTTTCGAACATCCTAGCGGCTTCTAAAACCAGAAGTGCTGAGGATGGCATGGGGTAGGGTGGGGAGCGGTGGTCCTTTTAACTCTGAGACACCCCATCCACAAATGTCTTTCAGGAAGGAATGTATATGGCACCCTGGGGGCTCTGAGGAAACCACCTCGAGACGCCCGGGGGAGAACGTGCACAGGCACAGACAGGTATTGAAGCCCTCATACTATGTGGACTTTCCATTAGCTGGTGCTTTACTGGCATCGAAATAATTCAGCCTCGCAATTCCCCAGAGGGACGCAGCTCTGTGGCCACACATTTGCAAGAGAAGAGAGTTAAGGGGGAAGCAGAACATGGGAGCAGGTGGGGAAGGCAGCAAGGAGAGGTTTTCCGATTCCTATTCTGCGGTCTGTCAGGCTTTGCAAAATGGTCGGTGATGAATGGGTTTATTAAATGAATCCCAGCATCAGAAATGAATTCAAGAAGGCGGCACTGGTTGCTCAGGCTGGCCTGGCCTCGATCGGTGAGCACTGACGGCTCCATTTCGGGGACTGGCAAAGTCACAGCCTTCAACCCAATGCACACAGACACGGCCATATCCATGGAAGCTAACCCAGAGGCCATCCTGGAGGTGGTGTGGGATGCCTCGCCCCTCTGGGACGGGCTGGTAAGGGGCCGAGGAGGAGGCAGTCCATTCCTAGCCCTCCAGCTTCTTTGCTGCTGCCCTGGAAGAGGGGAACTGATGATGGGGAGGGGATGGTCCAGGCCGGACAGCCTAAAGGCCTTCTCTGCTCGGAGAAAGTCTCTGGAGCTGCCAGTTGCGGGTGGGAGACAGGAGTGACCCGTCACTGGGGGAGGAGACTTCTCGCTAGTAAATGCTCACCTGGCCACGGCAGCCAGCCTGGGGCTTACTGTCCTGCACTGGCTGGAGAAGCCGAGAGGAAAGATTTTCTTCAGAGGAGATACCTGAAGGAGTAAAGTTCTGAAGGGAGCAGGCATGAAGCTAAGTTGGGGCCCAAGCCCAGGGGCTGATCTTAGAATGGTCCAGAGCCACCGCCAGTAGGCAAGGGCACTGCTTTTCAGCTGGGGTGCTTTTGCCCCTAGCCACCTACCCAGGGGACAGCTGGCAGTGTCTGGAGGCATTTTTTGACTATTATGACTAGGTCGGGGCTATTACTGGCACCTAGTGGGTGTGGTCAGGGATGTTGCTAAACATTCTACAATGCACAGACAGTCCCTGCAGCAAAGAATTACCTGGTACTAATGCCAACTGTGCTGAGGTTGAGAAACCCTAGCCTAGCCTTTTTTTTTTTTTTTTTTTTTAGTTTTTGTTGGATATAGTTGCTTTACAGTGTTGTGTTAGTTTCTGCTGTACAGCAAAGTGAATCAGCTATCTGGATACACATATCCCCTCTTTTTTGAGTTTCCTTCCCATTTCGGTCACCACAGAGCACTGAGCAATAAATTCTCATTACCTAGCCTAGTCTTAAGAGCTTGGTGTCTGGAGGCGGCAGGGCCGTGTCTGAACCCTGCTCTGGCGCTACTAGCATATGACCTGTGTAGCCTTGGTCAACTACTCTAAGCCTGCTTCCTCCATCTGTGAAATGGGGGTTATTGTGAAGCTGAAACAAGCAGATGCTCGTGGAGCACTCAGCCCGCTGCCCAGCCCCTGGAGGACAGTCTCTGTGAGCCATCTTTGTCCAGCACGTGGGAAGGAGTGGTTGGATGAGGACAGAGAAACATTGCCATGTGGACAGACGTTAGGGGGCTGTGTTTTCCTTAAGGCAGAAGCACACATCATTTTCTGCTGGTGGTGAGTTCCCTGTTCAAAAATTCTCCCCTGTGGGGAAGAGTAAACAACAGAGAAGAAACAGTGGATGGGAGGCAGCCCTGCTGGCTGTGCTGTGGTTAGGCGGCCAAAATAACTCAGTGCCGAGGGACGCTTCTGCTTTTTTTTTTTTTTTTTTGTGCAGTACGCGGGCCTCTCACTGCTGTGGCCTCTCCCGTTGCGGAGCACAGGCTCCGGACATGCAGGCTCAGTGGCCATGGCTCACGGGCCTAGCCGCACCGCGGCATGTGGGATCTTCCCGGGCCGGGGCTCGAACCCACGTCCCCTGCATTGGCAGGCGGACTCTCAACGACTGCGCCACCAGGGAAGCCCCGGACGCTTCTGTTCTTGATTGTTCACCTTCCGTTGTCTACGTGACCCTCACAGGCACCCTGGGAAGTAGGTACGATTGGATGGAAGGTGGAC